GTAGACGGCATCGATGCAGATGGTCCTGGGAATCCTGCTAAACACGGTAAACATTTTTAGCACTGCATATAACCATATGTAACCTAAATCATACATAAAAACAGTCATGATCTTACCCGATATTCGTGCAGCTTCAAGGCGCTTTTTATTGATACACTCCTGGATCTTCGTCTTTGTGGGATCTTTTACCGCATTTGATGACACCTATATTGAGGTATCAACCGAAAGTGGCAGCAGTAGGAGTGACTTACCTGCTGGGTCTGATGCTGCGAGTAAGCCAGAGAATCCGGCTGAGTCATTACGCTACCCGAAGGAGTGGGTCCGGCTCCATGCCAGGCTTGATTAAATGAAGCAGCAACAGCACCAGGTGGGTCATTACGCGACGCTGACTAAAATTTATTTGAGTAATTAACAGTGACAATATTTGAAAAAGAAGGATAAGGGATCAACGTCTTCAATACCCTCTGCGGGGTGCGCCGTGAGCACTCTACTTCATAGTTGAAAAGGCTTTTGAATGCATGTGAGCCTTCTACAGTGAGTTGTGGAGCTAGCGAATTACTTAGTCAGTGCTTTTTCCTCCCAGGTTACTCCATTACCAATTTAACGGCCCCGTAGGGTAGAACGGTTGGTTATCCCACGGTTGGGGTCGAAACTTGACCGACGTGGTCATGGCAACTCCTCATTCCACTACGACACTCGTCCTCCACTATTATAATTCGGATAGATGTTAAAGAGGCTAAACGGTGAAAACTAAAGATGATCCAACGCCTACTCTTTTTTGACGCGATCCTGCACTATGTTGTCTAACACCTCCACGCTTTCTTCCACCACGTGCACCTCTTGGAGACACAATCGGATTTGAAGCCGATGACACTGAAATTGGAAAAGAATACGAAAAGCACACCAGACACAATGCCACAAAAGAACGTACTGCTGCGGTTCTGATCTGGTGTAGTATCATCCATCGGCACATCGTTCGTTGTAGGAGTACTAACGGCAGAATTCAGTGAAGTGATAGGTTCCTTAATCAACTCATTAACAGCAACATGACAAACTAAGATGAAGCAATGCAAACTTCGTTCCCAGGTGTGGTTGCTTCAG